AATACCTCATAATTATTATCGTCTTTTTTACCTCTTGTATTCTACATAATGCATATTTATAATTGATATTTGTTCTAAAAAATAACAGAGGCAATCAATCATTCATACATATTGATTTAAAGAATTATATAATATGATCGATATAGTCATTAATCTAGCTATTAATCTCATTCAAAAATATTAGCAAATAAAAATCTAAATGTTCTATTAGTTTTTTTCTTTTTTAGAAGAATTTTTACAATAACTTTCTGATTAAAAAAAAAACTACATAGAAAAAAAACAATTTTCATAGACGTAAAAAATATAAAAATATATATAATTTACAATCAGATATTATAACTTACGCGTGCCATTGACATTTCTGCTGAGTATCTTCGGCACAGCAGCGGTAACCGCGCTGACTGCGGAAACACTTGGAACAGTAGGAACAGGAGGGACAGTAGGGATAGTGGATAGTACAGTGGCAGGTTGCTGATGTTTCGTCGGCGGACTTGCCACCACGACCACAGAATTCTGTATGGTACAAGTGGCTGAAGTGAGAGCGCCAGCACCAGCGACACCAGGAACCGCGTTGATCGGCGCCGTTGACACTGGAGATGCTGTACCGATACCGCAGCTTGTGGTTACCGCCGCTGTCGTCTCTTCCGGCGTGGGGCCTCCAAGCACGCGACTCTCCATTTTCAACAGTTAACACCACTTTCAATTCTTTCCTCACCAGGAGGATCGCACCGAGGCGTTACCTCCCACGATACGCACTCACTACACTCGACAATAATGTTTGTCGCGTTCAAAAGCATCAAAAGGTACTATATGCATTTATGATATCACGCACCTTTTACTCAATACCTTACATCTCTAATAGGAACATGAGAAATTGCTAATTATCAATAAAAAGTGTTTAAAAAAATGAAATAATTATATTTTGACATTATTGACCAATAGTTATGATAAACGAGCATGTACGTGGTAAATGAAACACCGGTGAAAGTATAAAGAAAGTTAATAATTGAATAAAAAAAGTATTTTCATTATATAAAAAGATCTGAATATGAAAAAAACAAAGTCAAATGTGAGTTATATTCCTATAGACACATAAAGTCAATGGCACTTATAACACGTGAATTGAAATCGTGGAAATTGTCAATATCCTTATTATTGTGATTTTTTTCTATCGAAGAATTAATAGTTTAATATTTATCTCCCTTCAGCAACACCAATTCTTTTTTTTGTAAACGTGTCAAATATATGTATATATATATATAAAATTGAAATTATTATTATAGAAAAGATAAAGTAAATAAAATAAATTAACGTTAACACTTTGAAAAGCAACAGCGAGATACTTGGAACGATGACGCGGTGCACATTGCCGGCCATCGAGTGATTCCACTACGTGTCTGTGTCGTGCCCCCTCCACTCAACTATACAACGTGCAATATTACCCCCACCATAGACATATTCACGTGCGGTTATCCCCACCTTTCGAATAGTGCCCCTACCTTTCAGAACAATGAGGAATGATGGACATTACCAAGTTAACCACAGTACGTAAATCTCAAATTCTTATGTCTGCAATTCCCACACTAAGATAAATAATAAATATAAATAATACTTACCTTTTTGAATATTTGATTTATATTTCAATGTTTTATTTGTTAAATAAAAAATAAATCAAATATATATGTATTTAAAAGATTATAGTATTAATAGTTTTTTAATGCAATAGAGTTCTCTATCTAATTTTTAATAGAATTGATCATATTAAATTGATTGATTTCTGATTTAAAGGATACGTTACCTATTCTAATATTTGATAATATCAAATATTATTCAATGTATTCAATTCAATCAGTTTAAATCAATTATATATATAGAATCATCAAATAATGATTATTATATATTATATTATATATATTATAAATGAAATAGGTAAATTTTAGGATATTAGATAAATATTTAAATATTGAAATTTTTTTAAATGTTAATATGAATGATTTATGAATCAATTATGGAATAGATCGATAATTTATTTAATACATTTTTTTAATTCATTAAGAATTAAATTATAAAAACTTAAAAACAATATTTTAATTAATCGCTGATATAAATGAATTTTTGCTAAATTTATAAACCTAATCAATAAACAATACAATTACAATATATAAAAAAACCATCAAATAACGAAAGATCAACAATAATATTAACAATAATATTTTTTAATTTAACCACATCAGTTTTATCATTTTTCTCTACCTAGATAACTTACTTACATAGTAGCTGTATATGTAGAACAATATATATTACATAGTAGCTGTATATGTAGAACAATATATATTCCTTCTTGAGACTATGATATCGGTATAAAAAGTGTCACTCTACCATGTCTACTATCTTTACCATTCTGGTAAACGATAGTCGCAAGAGAAACGGAAAGAAGACTCATTATAAAAAGCTATCTTTCCTCCCCTCCATCCTATGCATCCCTTAGAAGGAACTTACAATCATTTCATCCTATTGGTTCATGAACAATTAACATTTTTATAAATTATATTTTACGAATTCTTAAATTAATATATATATATTTATAATATAATTAATAAATTTATAATATTCATTTAAATTGTTATTAATTTATTTATAGAGAGAAGTGAAAAAAAAATATTAAAAAAATTTAATAATATTATATAATCTTAATATCTAATATTGTTATAGTATAATTAAAATTTATTAATATTTTTATGATTAAAATATATATGCATATAAGTATATACTATGCTTGTCATTAGATCATTAGATTTACTGAATTTTGAAAGATCATTATCATTTCCATTTTTTAAAGTCATGATGTATATATATCTTTCTTGTAATTTTAAACTAAACTTCTAAAAAAGTTAAAAACTAAATAAACAAGAAAGAAATTGAAAAATATCGAAAGATCAATTATGTGTACAATTTGTTTTCTTACCATTACCATTTCTCACGATTGCGGTGAATGATTCTTCATTTTTTGTCATCCAACGGCATCATAGTTCTTTTCCTAGTCTAGTCTGCTACTCTTATTTTTGCCAGCCTTATTTTTACGCCTGTCCACCCACTACTATTACTATTGCCCCTCTACTTTTCCCGCCCTACTATTCTCACTCCATTGGCCTACCTTTTCCGCACCAGTAGAAATAGAGAGAAAGATTTTTATTCTCGTAAATGGAAAAACCAGGGTAGAGAGGGAGGTTTTGCCAGC